CAAGCCGAAGAGGACTCCACATCCATCTCGTGGGGACTCTGGGTACACAGCAGGGTAATAGAAACCCTGTGAGAGATCCAGAGGAGCTTGGCGGCCTGATCCACCGCCCACCTCTTCCGGTCTTCGAGCGTGACTTTTATAAGACGTATTTACGATTTCCATTTGGTGGCTCGTTCACCCAGAGCATCCGGAGCTCTGCACCGTGGAGCCTAGCAACCTCCACGAGACCGTCTGTGTTGTCTGTCTGTAACTGCAACTCGATCAAGTTTTCCAGCCTACACCACTGCCATCTCGGTGTGGGTAAACAATCTTTAAAACTACCGATACGCGTTTGTGCCTAATTCCAGCTCGACGGCCTTCCCTCTCTGACCCGGCGTGCCTGGGCTGCTGGCCACAGCCCGCGTGCAGCACGAAAAAGGGCTCGGGTCGCTCCCGGCCCGCACACTAAGAAATAATCTGTAATAGTTACAAATGTAGTACATGGCATGTTATCAATCTGGAGATCCATCCAGTGAGTTAGCGTGAAAGGTACAACAGTTTTTGTCACCAACAGCACACACAGGAGTGATCTGGCTAGCATCACACCTGGTAATCTTTGACTTCCCAGCCTGAATAAGCAGGTACCCATTTACAGCTGAAGTCACAGCCTTTGGCACAAGTCTAGATAAGGCTAGAACTCATGCCTTGAGACCTACAGTAAGGCATCTTAACCACTCTGCTACCACATCCCTGATCTGATCAATGTTAACATTAATATGCACAAGAAAATATTTAAGCAGATATGTTTTTCTTTTTGTGCCCATCCTGATATGGATAGAGCTCATTTTCGTAACATCAGAAAAACAGTTTCTAATAAAAATTACAAACAAACCCAGTTTCATTCTCAAAATATACTGGCTCACCTAATTTGCCATGTTTGAACATAGCTTACCGCTACACTAGAGAAGTATATCAAGGGCTCGGTGAGCAACTGTTCACCAGAGCACCCGAGAGGAAAACTAGGAGTAATGGCCACAAACTCCTGGAAGATGGATTCAGGCTCAACATTAGGAAAAACTTCTTTACAGTCAGGGTGTCCAGACTGTGGAATAAGCTCCCTCCAGAGATGGTACAATTATCTACTGTGGAAATCCTCTAGAGAAGACTAGACCATCACCTTGCTGGGGTCACCTGACCCCCAGTTATCTTTCCTGCTTGGTGCAGGCTGGACCCGATGATCTTCCGAGGTCCCTTCCAGCCTTACAATCTATGAATATCTGTTCTGAGAAAATGTATTCTGAGGGTTTAACATAAATATTAATATTGAACAAGCTACAAACACTTCCATGAAATCATTCCAATTTTCTTCTAAACACCATAATAGCCAAGTCTTGGAATGCCCCACTTTCTTCATCTTTTAATTAATGTGCATGCCCTTTTACCTTCCATGTAATATTATATGAATTCAAATCATTTCATAAGAAAGATTATTTCTTTTTATGAGTAAGACTCCAGTTCTTTCAAAAACCTAGAAATACAGCTTTAAGTAATACACTCTCAACCAAGATTCAGCAAAGGAGTAATCAGTTGGGAAATCAGGTTCATTACTGACTCATGCTGATTTCATGCCAGTGACTTTACATAGTCCACTTCGAGTAAATTCCCCATTGCCATCTAGTTCTAAAAGAGCATTTCATTTAGGGAAGCACCAATAAAGATTTTCTTGGCCGATACCTATCCAATAGCCGATTTACAGGAATGTAGCCAGTTCTTCTGGTAAGTCTGTGGAAGGGGGTGAAGCTATGCAGGGAAGGGAAAAGGTGTGGAGGGGACTGATTGAGGAAGGGAGTGGGGCAGCGACTAGGGCTGGGGCAGGTGCTGCCCACCCACGGCGGTGAATGCGACTCCAGGGCTGGGACTAGGACGGAGCAGTGGGTGGCTACCTGCCACTGCGTGGACCCCCAGGAGAGTCGGGGGGGGGCGCCCCCCCCGCCTCGCGGGCCGCCCCGGGGGGAGGGGGGGGGGGGGGAGGGGGCATGTAACCCTGTGGATTCGTGCATGGGGCAAGGGTGGGGGTACCCACTGCAGACTTGGAGCCAGAAGCTGTCTATTCCCGTGCCAGGGGGCAGGGGGGAGGAGAAGAGGCAGGGCTTTGAGCAGGCAGGTAGCAGCACCAGGAGGGGAACCTACAGGGAGGTTACAGGGAATTTTGGGGTGGCTATAGCCCCCTAAGCCCCACCCCTGCTTGGGGCACTCTGCTTTTGGGTCAACTACAGGATGTGTGACCAGTGCAGGGCTCCCAAGAGAAAGGCAGCAGAGCGCCCCAAGCAGGGGTGGCACTTGGGGGAGGTTGGGGGGCTATAGCCACCCCAAAATTCCCCATAGCCACCCCTCCAAGTGCTGCCGCCATTGCCCACCCCAGGCCCGCCTGCTTGGAGCCCAGCTCCCCCACTAGATAGAGGCTGGTGTAGCCCCTGGCCCCAAGCCCTCAGTGGGCAGCCTGCCCAATTCCCAAGCACAAGTTTAGGGGGGGGCACATGCCCCCCATGCCTGCCCCAGGGGTGCGTGCAGTGGAGGAGAGCCACCCCCACTCCCCGCACCCTCTGGACAAGCCACCTGCGGCTCTGTCCCACTCCTAGCCCCAGGGGCACATTCACCAGCCTGGCTGCGGAGAGCCTGCCCTGCCCCTGCACCACTCCCTCCCTCACTGTGCGGGCCATGATCTGCCCCCTCTATGGGCCTTCCCTCCCCCATGTCCCTTTCCCCCCCACAGATTTATCTGCAGGACACTGCTCTCCAAGTCTAGTTCTAAAAGAGCACTTTTATAATTGTGCACATGTATACAGCACCTATTGGTGACACCAGCTACACTGGCTCAAAAAAGGTGATAGCTAATAATGTTAATCTTCCTTTTATTGGTGCTGATCCAATATAAAACTGATAAATTGGTGCACCTCTAATTTCATTGCAGAGTACCTCCACTTAATACAGAGATGACACTGAATCAGGAATAAAAATAAACTAACTAAGAAGTAAACGGTAAATAAAGCTTTAGGGCCAAGGCTGAAGTGCTACAGAGGGTAAACTCTGTAATTCTTTAACAGTGATAAAGAAGTGAAGATTCCAGTGAAAATGAATAAAGAAGCACCTTCTAATATTAAAAGCATTATTATACCTGCAATGCAGCCTCTTCCAGAATCTCAAGATCTTCTTCAAATTCATTACCTGCTGTCAAATAGAAATGTATAGAGGTTAATATTGCACCTGAAATTAAATTCTAGTTCTACTTAATAATGCATTTGCCACTGCACATCAGGATAGAACTTAAAATTGTAACCATATACCCAGCTTAACAGTGTGAAAACGTTCCAAGGTTAAGAATCATTTCTAATAAAGTTAAAATTTTGTTTTTGGACAATGTTTTATACATGCAGGGTTGTATAATTCAGGGTACAAGGAAATAAATGACATTTTACACAAGAAATGTTCATGTAAGTTTAGTTTCTCCAGAACAGTATGTTTGGGAAATCTATAAGTATGACTGAGCGCTCTCCTTTAAGGATTTTTACATGAAGTTCAAATTGCCTTCCAGTTGTTTTTTTTTTTTTTTTTTAAGTCAGAGAAAACCAGGATCCCTGATCGTTAGAAACAACAACAAAAGCCAGGGCCAAGAATGAAACCTACTCCAATTTTTTTTAAGAACTTCCAACTGAATGGGTAAGGACTGGGCCAATGGCTTGCAGACCTTTTCCTGTTATTACCAGACTGGTAAGATTAAAAAAAGCTGGAGTAAGGCACGTGTTTGCGCACCACATTAAAACAGCAAACCAGACGAGGAAGCTGACAACCTATATATGTCACCCTTGCCACAGTAAAGCAGCTCAGGGGGTGAAGGTAGGAGGGGGAGTTCTTCTGGCTGACCTCACAATACTCATTGGGAACACCCTACCTTTAGGCCAGGTCTAAGTTGCTGCAGTCAAGTTCTAGTTTTTATAAGATGAACTGATGCAGTTTTACAGGAAAGCAAAACATTGAAACAGTGACAGCTGAACTCTCTTTCACTTGGTCTCCTTTGAATCAGCACCACTTTCACTGACACCTGTAAAGTCTTAGTGGACAGATGCTCAATTTTTTTCAGGGCCATCAAGTGCCACCCCATGTTACAACTTATTTCCTCCCTTGTAAGTATACAGTTTGATAGGCAGGCTGGCATGGACTTGGACCACCAGAAGGATTTTACCAGCTCCATTGCTCTTCAAAGTTTACATGCCATGCCATACCCAGCATAAACAATATGCTGGACATGATGGAGCAACTTCATGTGCTTTCATTTGAGAAAGCTCATATAAATCAGACATTTTTCCAGCAGTCAAGGAACCATCATCATTAGAATGAGCACTATGTTCACTGCCAACCTCAAGGTCTTCATAGATTACATCCACTCCTGGAAATTATGCCAAAATCCCTGAAAAAACTCTGACCTCTTTCTGCATGAAGAACAAAGCTCTCAAAGAACTACTGGACACCAGATTTTGTGGACATAAAGTAAACATTAAGCCTAATCTCATAGAAAAACTGGCCAACTGCAGCCTCGGCTACATCACAGTCCATTGGCTGGGGAATTGGCTCCGAGGTCGGACCCAGAGAGTGGTAGTTGATGGAAGTCAATCATTGTGGCGCGCCATGACCAGTGGGGTCCCCCAAGGCTCCGTCCTTGGGCCTATTCTTCTCAACATCTTCATTAATGATGTGGACATTGGTATCAGAAGCAGACTGGCCAAGTTTGCTGATGACACCAAACTTCGGGGTAAATGGGCAGACGAAAACCTGAGGGCCTTCAACACGAAAATGCAAAGTACTCCACCTTGGGAAGAAAAACCTGCAGCATGCTTATAGTCTCAGCAGTGCTATGATTGCTAGCACCACAGCTGAAAGGGACTTGGGGTCATGACTGACCACAAGATGAATGAGCCACCAATGTGATGTTGCAGCCAGCAAAGCGAGCAAAACTCTGGCCTGCATCCATAGATGCTTCTTTAGCAAATCCCAGGATGTTATCCTCCCACTGTACTTGGCCTTGGTGAGGCCGCAGCTAGAATACTACATCCAGTTCTGGGCTCCACAATTTAAAAAGGATGTGGAGAAGCTTGACAGAGTCCAGAGGAGAGCCACGTGCATGATCAGAGGGCAGGAAAACAGGCCTTATGATGAGAGGCTGAGAGCTATGGGATTCTTCAGCCTGGAAAAGCACAGGATCAGGGGGGACCTGGTGGCTGCCTATGAGTATATAAGGGGTGTGCATCAGGATCTGGGGGAATGCCTGTTCACCAGAGAGCCCCAAGGGATGACAAGGTTAAACCGTCACAAACTCCTCCAAGACCATTTCAGGCTGGACATAAGGAAGAACTTCTTTACTATCCGAGCCCCCAAGGCCTGGAACAGACTGCTGCCAGAGGTGGTGCAAGCACCTACTCTGGACTCCTTTAAGAGTCAACTGGATGTTTATCTTGCTGGGATCCTGTGACCCCAACTGACTTCCTGCCCCTGGGGCAGGTGGCTGGACTCGATGTTCTTCCGAGGTCCCTTCCAGCCCTAATGCCTATAAATCCAATTTAAAATACCTTGTCATTTAGAAAAGAAATTCAGAAAGGCCAAAGCCAAGATGTGCCTCCTACAAAAGCTAGCAGGGACTTTGTGGGATGCCGGTGACAGCTTGCTTTGAATGACAGTACTGGCTCTGGTATCACTGGCTGCAAAATATTGTGGCTCCTGCTGGGTCCCATGGTACCTATACTAAATGCCTTGGCATGCAACTCCGTGCTGCACTGTGTATTGCAACTGGAGCTCTTATATAAACATGCCATCTGGTTACTGACTTGGGCCCAGGAGACAATGATTAAAATTCGAAGAGTCATAAAAATGAGCCGTCTACTTAGATCATGGCTAATCCTGGTCTACCTTTACAGGACCTCCAGAATAGTCTCTCGTCTGAAATCCCAGCATTATTTACTCTGATTAGTTTAAAAAACATTTTCACTTCGAGGTTATTCGAGTACAACTAGAAATGTACTGAATGAGGCATTCATAAAACAAGGTACATAATGTATAACTTGATTAACAGAGGCTTACCGATGGGAAGTGCCAGGTCTTTTTTCATTAAAGCTGCTGCACACGCTCCTCCTAGATTGGCCAACTCTTTCTCTAACTGAATGATACCCTTCAAAAAGACAGAAGATTTTTAAGCAAAATATTTTCAGAAAACAAAATCAAGTAACCGGATTAGCAGTGTGACACACAATATTTGTGACTGATAGACACTAATATTGTGCTCTACTTCAAGGGTTTTCAGCCTGCTTTCCAGGGTAAGGATCCTGAAATTACAATGCTGTTGTTTTAAGGGGGTCACAGTACAAAATGGTTGAAAGCAAATTATCTAGTTAATAGGATTTATTAACTATTGTTTGTTGCTATGCTTTGGGTTTAGGGAAAATTGTAAGATTAATATTTTATATAGCCTTTAGGTCTGTAGAATAGAAACTCTGAAAAGATTCAAAAAATTAATAATACATAAATACCTTAGAGCAATGGTCCCTCTAAGCTATCCCATGCATTCAGTTTACATGAAACATTACTCAAGAGATCCCTGTCTTCCACTTCTTGATTCTGTCCTGGGGAAAGCTATCTGTCCTCCCAAATTTCTCCTACTGTTGACTCTTAGAAGAAGCTCTCAGACCTTCTTCCATATACACTGGTCTCAGAGTATTTTGTAGGCCATCTTAAAAGGGCTATAGTCATTCTGTTGTTTCTAACAAGGAGATCTATCTTGTGCAAGATGAACAGTGCAGTATCAAGACAAATTTGCAAGTATCTTGGATTTTAAGCAAACAGAATTTAAGGTAACCTACACACATGCCAGACATTTGCTGTGATGCATGCTAATTAGCACACGTCAGAGCAGACTCAATTAATAAAGACAAATACTCAGAGATTAATAGAGTCTGCTCTGACGTGCTAATTAATGTGCTCCAGCAGCCTCTGTGTCATGTCTACTCAGTGTCCCCTCGCTTCAAAACAGGGGCAGGGGTGCTTAAACTAAAGCTCATTGAATGAGCTTTAGTTCAAGCATTTCCGCTGCCATTTTGAAGTGCCGGACACTGAATACACAGGATGCTGTGGGCACTTTAATCAGAGTGATTCTCAGATCCATTAATTAAAGCACGCCCCCTTCTCCTCACCTCCAGCCCAGAGCACATGTATAGACTCTTTAATAGTTCAACTACATCTCAGGATCTGTGTAATGATTACATACAGAGAAGATATGGATTTCCTAACTTGCACAGAACTGGATTGTATGTGTATCGTCAAGGTTCAGTGCGACTGCTTATTAAACAAGGTGCTACTCAATGTGAGCAAGGTTATCTAGAATCCTGCCCTATGATAAGGCAGGGGCAACAAAACAAAGGGAAATGAACCCAGAGAGAAAATAAAAATAATAGTATAGATAAGGACAATTTTTTATTTACCCTTTTCATGACGCAACAAAAGACTTCCCAGTCAAAATTGGAAGGCAACACACTGAAGACTACAGGTGACCCTTGCCATTCACAGGAGATCTGTTCTGGAGATCCCCGCGAATGGCAAAATCCGCAAATACAGCACTGCATTCATGGATGTCATGAACGCAGTGCCCCCAGCGGCTGTGGGGCAGGGCACGGCTGTGCTGGCAGTGGCGGGAGCCCGGTGGTGGTGGCAGGAGCCCAGCAGCAGCAAGCGCAGAGCTCCCAAGGCACTCCTATAAGTGTATTTAAGATGCGGGCTCAGCATTTGCGAATATTTGAAACCACGAATGCTGAACCCACAAACAGCTAGGATTTCCTGTACAGTAAGAAAGAGAAGCTACTTACCAGTAACTGTCTAGAGCTACCCTTTTGCACTGTATTCACAGTTGTGAAGTATGGCACTCTGGTTTCAGGTTGAGGAACTGCCATGTCAGTTGAGGGGCACATGAGAGACTGTTTGAGGATCAAGATTCTGCTCTATAAAAGAGACCTTTCCCTCCAACTACACTATCCTATCCCTAACTAGAGTCCTTATGTTACATTGAACTCTGAAGCAGAGGGGATTATAGACTGGTACTACAAATACTCAGATATGAATCCTGAATTTTTTGTTCCATAAACTGTGGCTTCCAGGCACTCCCATTGGTGGGAGTTTAGCAAGCAGTTCACCATCTGAAAGAAGGTGGGCATGGACTGCTATTTAAATAGAGATCAAAACCCTGTTTTCCCAAATGGAAGAGCAGAATGTTAAGCTCTAGATGCATTGAAAACTAAGGGCTGTGCCAGCCTTTTTACCGGGGGAGGGGGGGAGGAGACGGGATTGGACCCTTGCTGAGCTCAGGGTGGGCGGGGGCAGCACTGGAAGAGGGAATATTGTGAATTTTGGGGTGGCTATAGCCCATCCCATAGACCCCACCTCCCAGTGCCACCACTGTCCACTCCGAGTGCAGGCTAGGCCCAGTCCCCCTACCCTTGCCCAGTGCACAGATCCGGGGGACACATGTCTCCCCAAGGGGTGTATGCAGCAGTGGCAGCCGCTGTGAACATATATATAAATAAATAAAATCTATAGTGGAGTATATTAGTATAATATACAGCACTCAAGAAACTAATATATATACACACACATTATATATTTTACAGTAGTTTAATACTATATATTATAAAGAAATCTATTTGTAAACATCTGGAGGACAACTAAGTAAAGGAGGACACACCAGTGAGGCTGGTGGGTGGGTGGGTATACTTAAGCTTGGTTACTCTCTTTTCAAACCTACATGCATTCAGTGAAAAATGACCAACTCTTTAACACTGCAAGGGTATTTTGAAATACCATACTAAGATGGTGCCATAGACAAATGAGGTAACCATATCTTAGCTGTCCAACAAAAAAATTGTCATCTGTACTGGCCATCTCCTGAGTTATTACTTATCAGGGACTCTCAACTTCTGAAAGTTTGAGAAAATGTTCTGGTATAAAGGCTGTCCAGGTTTACACCAAAGATTATTCCTTTATACAACCTGAAGTGTGATCATTCATCGAGAGTCATGCCTTTAAGGTTCCAATGATTCCCAGAATAGAAAAACAAGGGAAGATAAAATTATCCTATGCTACTCTCAGAGGACTATTTCCAATACAGTCTTAAGTTAGACAAAGGGAAAATGTAATCCAGGGACCACAGTGGTATTCTGTTTGCTCTTTTCAGAAAAGAAAACCAACGTGGATGGAAGAGTACACCCCTTAAAGTGGTGTCACACTTAAGTAATTTTTTTCCTGGAGGCCTACCAAAAGGCTTTCTAAAGCCGTTTCACAGCTCAACACCAGGGCAGCCAACCCAGAAGTAAGAATGCAAAGATGTACTCAAGGAAGCAAAGAAGAAATAATAACTTGCAAAACTTACTTTTATGGGTAATGTGAGATAATAAGCTTCAGAAGATTTAAGAGAATACTTATAGGTTTAAAAATATGCAGTTACACTCTGCGCGTTTACATGTGACGCTACGTTGCCGGGCACAAACTACAATGCTGACACTACATTGCTATAGTGATGAGCTACCTCATTATAGCACATCACTACGACTTTGTAGCTTCTAAAAATAACTGTCCAAAAGGAAGTACTAAATGACGGTGCAGTAATAAAGGCTCTGTGGGGGACACGTGTATACGTGCTCACTGTGTAGAATAAAAACATATTAAGGGATGTCAACTTTCATTCATCAGGAAATAAAACAGGTCAGATTAGGCTGAACTTAATATATAGAAAAAAAAAAACAACCTTGAGCGAACTGAAATCCTGCATTTTTGGGGAAAAAAATATATCTGTTCTCATTAATCATTGTCTTGACTTCTTTTTACTGAAATGGTTTTACACTATCTTCTGAAGATTCTGGTGATAGGGAACAAATATGAAGGCTGTGTTCATACAGTGTACGATGCTAAAAATATATGAATTAGAACACTCCTCAACCTTCTGGATGGCTCAATGTAATGAATCCTGGGAGAGGAGCTTAAGACAAACTTATAAGAATATTGAAAACTTTTGATATAATAAATAAAAAGAATGAAACTGATAATACCTAATATGTATAGAGAATGTAAGAAGTATTAAATTGAGATTGAGAAAACTTCATGCAATTAGATGAAAGCTTGAAACAGTGACTCTTCACACAACAGCAGTTTAAAAGTATATTAAGACTATTTAAAATTATATTTTGCTAATGTTATGTAAGCAAAAGCAGAAGTTAAAAGGATTGTATACAATAATTTGTCTTTAGAAAAGGCAGGCTAATTTACATAATTATAGTAGTTAAACTTATTCTCACCTCATCAGATCCTGGACTAAATTCATAACCGATTGCATAACACTTAAAGCCATAAAAACAAGCCTTCTCATCTTTCACATAGTCTGATGCAGTCTCCAGGGAAAACAGTGCTTCATTTCCTGAAGGGAAACATTGGAATTAAACTAAACAAAATGAGCTTAATTTCAACTGTTCCTCTTGCCACCTTCTACATTCTGAAAATAAGTATGTCAATTAGAGATTATGAACTTGATAGAGAAAAATATCTTGAGTAATGTGCAAATCTGCAATTCATATAATTTTATTCCCCCCCCCCCACACACACACACAGACTGTACAGTCAATGACTATAACTGGCCACTCGTTCCAAAATTTGGGCAGTTTTGTAGTTACATATTCCAACTGGTAAGCCAAACAATTTAGAATCATTATTTAATGAAAATCACTTGGAAGTAAAATTTTCACTCTCATTAAGAACTTCATATTGTCTGAAAAAAGAAGTCATTTCTACTATTAAGTTAAAATTACTTCCTGGAAATGATCATAGTTTAACTACTAAATTATGTAAGGACTATACTTCAAAGTCCTAAATTTTATTTTATTTTTTTGAACGTAAACTCTCAACTGTTTTACCTGGTAACACTAAAACCATGGTAGGCCATCCAGATGAACCGGAAAATTTCTTTAGTTCTATCCAAGAATTAAGATTTTCATGAACAGAGGTTTGCTTTGGTCCAAAACCTGAGTTCTGAGCAAATCTAACAGGAATTAACAAGCGAAGTACATCTTCTGATTGAGCAGTGCCACATTGTGTGTCAAACTCTACTGTCATCCACCTGACACATTCTGGAAAAGTTACCTGAAAACAAACAATAATCAGAAAAATCACTCAAAGATATGTAAAAACCTGAAAAATTTAAGTACAGGCAGTCCTTGACTTACAATGTTTCGAATTACAACATTTCACACTTTCAACGTTTCTAAATCGACACCGTTTCAACTTTATGACGTCAGTTTCAACTTTACAACACTTGATCCAATGCAATGCCACGCCAGCAAACAAGTTCGTTTCATCGCTCATCTCCCTGGAGAACATCTGTCCAAACTTCCTTGGACACTTTCTTTAAGAAAGCAGTCCAAACTCCAGAAAACCCTGCAGCCAAGACTCCTGAGAAGACTCCAGCCAAGAACCCTTCAAAAAGTCCAACCAAGAGCCTTTCAAAAAGTCCAGCAAAGTCATCTCAAATAAGTCCTTCCAAATCAATAAGTTGTTTTCAGCATATGCTAGGAATTAAAAGTTGCACATAGACTTAGGAATGATGCTTACCTTATAGTGCGTAACACAAGCTGGTTTGTAGGGGTGTTCACTCTCTATGACAGAATAGTGATTAGAGGTAGTGCAAGCAGACAGCCCTTGTTCAGGCTGATTTCCTGTGGTGCTGTCTGTAGACTGATTGGGATTGAACGCAGGAGGGGCATACTTCTGATTCAGAACGGCTACAGAGGGAAGTAACTGTTGTACTAGACCAAAGACTTCAACAGCAACCTGTATCATGACAGTATATGAAAGCATTAGTTGAAATTGCATAAAAATGCTTACAGTTCCCTACAGTGCTTGTTCTGAATGGTCTCCATTTTAACATCACTTAGTTATGTGATTTGTTTTACAGTTTTGCATATACATCACTGAATATACAAACTTCTGAATGACCAAATATCAAAGCGTTTACTTCAAATAAATGTAGATTCCAGAAAGAAGGCCAGGTAAAATTTTACCTTATAGGCTAACTAATTCAGACATGCATAAGCTTCTGAAACTATTTTGTCAGAATTGAGCTATGGCTTAACAAAAGTACATTCATCTCCAAACCACTCTATAAGGTGCAACTCTACCCTGCCTTTGTCTGACTTCATTATCATGGCTAACTACCTCTATCTACTCACAGATTCCAGAAAGAGTCACAAATAAAAAAACAAGCAATAACAGTTTATTCTCAAATAGTTTGAGCATTAATAAAAAAAGTTTGATTGTAAAAACTAAAGTGGAAGGGTAGAATTTTAAATGTTGTGGAATGGGCTGTGTTTCAATTTTAAGAGCTCCTGCTTAAAGAACATCCCAGAAGAAAAACCATTACAATCAAGAAATATTAGCTATTAAATGTAGTAGTTCTCCATAGTAGTAAACCAGCAATGTTTCCATTAAAAAAAACAACAAACCTCTTGAAAGGTTTTATAATCTGCTCCAGGAAATACTAGTCATGTAAAGCATGTTCTTCTATGGAACAAGTGACCACAACTTTGGTTTGTTTTGTAATTCATTTTGTTCATTAAATTTTGTTTATGGTTTGAATGCTTGTTCCATATTTGAAAAATGCACACTTGAAGGACAAAAGATATTGAACAAAAACCTTTTATTTGTATACATTTGAGGCTTAATATAATTCTATTTCAGAAAGTTCAAAGAATGACTAAAGTTCGAACATTAAGGAAGTTGCATGGAGAAGATGCAACGCTTCCACTTAACATTTTCATTTACAAAGGAAAAGCTCCACTTTGATTATCAGTGTGACCACATTTAAAATGAGGATGGCACAAGATGATACATGTACCCTCATATAATCAAACAAAACTGCTTATGAATTTTACAATGTGTCCAAGCTTTATCCTTCATTACCTCCATTTGCCTGTCATCTCTGCCCTATTTCATTTCAAATACCTAGAATAACTTCTAGTGCAACATATGCCATATTTCCTGTCTCCATCTTTAAGGACCGACATCCATCTTTGTCAAGAAGCATTTTAAAGCTCTAATTGTCACTTCTTCACATGGTATATTTTGTAAAGCAAGTGTGTCAAAATAATTCAAAAATTGAAGTAAACCTACATGATAAATTTATGTGATCCCAAGATACTTTTCATTATACAAAACTTACATTTTCATGAAATATTTATATTCCTCATGATTAGAGGCAGTGTACATTCTAACTGTGAACTAAACTTGAACTGTCATGTCTGTCTGTAAACTTGGAGTGGCTTCCTAGGGAAGGAAGACCTGCTCCTCAGGTGTGCACAGCAGCTGTTACAGTCTGTTGCATGTATACAAGCCTATAGCGATGGAAGTGAACTTCACTGCCTGGTCCAGTGTTAACCCTGGATTGTGGTTTTGTAGAGTAACAGCTGCTGCACCTCCTAAGCAGCAGCTCAGCCTCCCCTTCTGAAACCACTTCAGGTGTACCTGTGTGTACTTTTGTCCACTCCCTGAGCCTCTGGACAGGCTGAAACTTTGACTTGTACGCAGCTCTGCTTGTTAACTCCAACAACAACTCTTCCACTGTTAATGAGTTTGGCAGATGAAATCAGAAAAGGAACTGAAATAAAGGCTTTGAGAGAAAGGAATGGAACCGTTGCAAAGAAGGAAATGCAGACACAAAAGTAGAGGGAGCATGCAAAGACAAAAAGGAGAGAAACAGAAAAAAAGGCAGAAATAGTACTTGCCTAAAGGGAAGCATAATTTTTTCAATGAACAATACTGAATTTAACAAAAACAGAGTGAATAAATGCTCAGTTCCTATATAAATACTGTATTTACCATTTGAAGACAATGAAAACCTGCCAGCTGTGGATTCAAAGGCAGAGGCTCTTGAATTTATACCCCAGCCGCCATGGACCATTATTGAATTTGGGGCAAAACTACCTTAGATCTAAATTTTGGTAAGTAGTGACCTTATAGAAGAACTGGTTGTGGAAAATAATCAAATAATCTAGGGTGATGTAGCCACGAGTTGATTCATTTCATTTTAAACTCCAGGAAGGGCAAGAATAGGTTCATAGCAAAGGTCTGAGAAATCAAAAGGCTTAACTTAGAGAAACCAAGGCAGTTACTTAAAGAGGTTAACTGCATTCAAGAGGTAAGAGACTTGGATGTATAAGTGACGTGGAATTATTTCAAGACAAAAAATACAAATATAAGTCCACACCCAAGCAAGAAGAAAAAAAAAATATTGAGCTTTTTGGCTTTCCTCTATGGTCCATTTTCTAGGACTATATGGATATAATTTACTGAATTGCACACCACTTCAGAAAGTAGGGAAGAGGAGCATCTTAGGGCACTGACAGATGTGGAAAAAAGACAGTGCTTTACTGGAAGAGGCAGCATGTTAGTTCAACCCGGCTCTGCAGGGTCTGTGTAGGTGGGGCGCTTTGGCAGGGCTTTTTGGCACTTTTATCTAATAGCTGATTCAATCAGCTATTAGATAAAAGCACCAAAAAGCCCTGCTGAAGCACCTGATCTATACAGACGTTGGGTGAGCCAGTTTCAAGTAATGCGATGCCTCTTCTGGGCAGGCGCTGTGCTCAGTGCAGAGACCCACAGAGTTTAAAGTCAAGTGCCTTTTCGGGGGGGGTGGGGGCGGGGGTGGTTGTTTTCATGTCTGTAAGCAGCCTTAAAGACTAACTTGTTCAGAGAGGCATACGCTACTTCGTCAGATGCATCTGATTGCTTACAAAATGTTTTGCCTCTTTAAACCAACTAGCTTCTAAGGCAGTGATTCTGACCAGGGTGCCACAATATCCTTTTAAGGGTGCTGTCATTTACTGAACAACATTTGCAGTTAGGTGTGAAAACATCAACACATGATTCAAAAGATAAACTAGAAATTTCAAACAGGAATCTAGAAATGTCAAATACATTCTGACTTGCTGTAGTTTTTCAGAAATCTCTGCAGAAGAAGAATTGCTCTATTATTTTTCTGTATTAAAAAAAAAAAAAAATATGAGTGAAAGCTAAAAGCTGGCATTTTCTGAGGTGTGCCTTGAGTCTAACTAGTTTGAGAACCACTGTTCTAAGGTGTCAGCTTAGTCTGAAATCAGGCAGAAAGCAAGGTAACATTCTTTCCCTTTTCTTTTCCTATCCATTCCTATGTGCAGCGTAGGATTTTATTTTTTTTAACACTAAAGGGCACCTATACATGTGCATTGAGGCTGCTCCCATATCCTGCAATTACAGTGCATTGGAGAAGACTTGATTAATTGAGTTTGCCAGAGTGTGGTACCTACCATGCTCCAGCAGAGTCCAGCGTCACAGGTATCTGTTACCCTGTGTTGAAAAATGGCGGTGAGGGCACTTTAAATAAAGCTCATTCGACATGCTTTAGGTAAAGCGCCCACCACCACCATTTTTCAGTGCAGGGATACTGATACACGTAAGGCTCCAGGTGCTTTAATTAGAGCATCTCTTGAAGTCACTGTAATTAAAGTCCCCCCACCCCAAGCACACGTATAAATACCCAGAGATCCTACATTTGATATGGGGCATTTAGTGCCTAAAATGTGGGAAAAGCCAGAATGTATATTCTAATAGACAAACATTATGTATTTATTTTTTTACATGGCTGCCTGAAAATATAAGACTGGACTCAAGTCTTCAGGTTGTCCTTCCAGTTCTATGTTTCAAAGTTATTTTTACATGGAAAAGAAGGAAAACACATTCACTCCCACTTTAAGGCTTCTACGAACCATTCTTGTTACCATAACGGATCAGGGGGAGAAAATTCCTAACATGTACAAGGCTGTTGTGTTACAAGGCCCTAATGTGTTAAGTGGTCAGCGAAATCAAGATTTTACAAGACAGGTATATACAAAGGACAAAGGAATACCTTCCCATCTGCAGCTTTCTCTTAGGAACAAGTTGATGTTTAACATACCTTGGGAATAGCTGCAGCTACTGGTTCTATGTAGGCTATTATAAGGGGAAGCAGCATTGAAAACAGACTGGAAGAACTGAGCAATTCTGGAATGTCTTCAGCTGTAGAAAGAAGTAATTAGAATATTTGGAAGCTATTCGCTTCAATATATGTAACAAGCTTTGAATAAATCAAGTTTTCCCAAAGTTTCCTGTACACCAGCAGTTTGTAAGTGAAACTTGAGATGCATTTTTAGCAGATGTTATTTTTATTCTAAAGTACACCATGATCCAGAGTTGGCTTAGGCTCCTGATGCACGTTACACTTAAGATGTGATAAACCAGTTATTCACATTTCAAGGAGTGACCTGGCCACATGTTCATTCAATTAATAGCATGATAAAACCAGAACTAAGCGACAAAGTTATTACACAAAGTGTGGGTAATTTTGTCTTTGGTTCTTATCATGCCTTTAATTGCACATGCGCCCAGTGCTCCTAGCCTCCAGGGGACTTTTGTGTGTTTCAGAGGCTGGGATCACTGGTCAGCTGATCAGGGGGTCTCAGCTGAGAGAGCTGACCGGGAGCCTAAATCAGCTGATAGAGCTCCCAAATGCGGAAGCATGTAACGTAACAACGCAGTTGGGCGCTTCAATCACTGTCCATCAACTGACAGAGCTTCCAGCCACAGGAGTGAAGATTGGCAGTGCAGGGGAAGCCCAGGATTATGATCCCAGGCTCCCCCTGCACTGGCAATATGACATTATCTGATGTCCAATCCCACAATCATACCTCCTGCAATGCACATGGCATGGTAAGAGGCACAGCTGTTAGGACTGGGCATCAGATCCCATCGTGCCATCTTTTTAACATCCGTCAGTGAACTGCAAAATTCAGTCTGAGGTGAAAACCCCATTAGAAGTATTCACTATGTAATAAAAGGCTTCATGCATTAGAAGTGATAGCTACTTTCAAATTGGTTTTGTAAAGGAATGAAAATGGTTTAAATACAAATAATATCATTCAAAACCAACTTACAGAATGTAATATTTTAAAGTCAATTAATCATTATGAACTAATAAAGAAACACCATGCTAATAACATTTTAAGGCCAAATTTTCATTTGGCAACATGAGGATGTATTATGAAAATATTCAAACACATTATCTAAAACATTTTTGATAATCAATGCCATGAGAGTAATACAGTGGGGGAAAGCTTATCTAGTAGTTCTGAAACGGAGCTTGATAAATTTAACACAGGGTTGTAACAGTAGCGATCTACCGAAATCGTAATTTCAAGGTTTTTGTGGAAAACGCAGAATTGGGTGGAAACTGTGAAAAACGGTGGGCTTACTGCAAAAAAAACCTTACTGAAAAATAATATGTTGGCTCCCTAGAGGGAGCCAACACTACTCATGGCTGCTGTGACCCAGCCATGCAGTCTGCCTGTGGGGAAGGGGGCATTGTCAGCATGAAAGGCTGCCGGCAAGATGGCTGCCATCTCTGCCCCTCACTACTGATTAGTTGAGAGGTCTCATTCTCATGTGGCCCTGCCCCACTTCAATCAACTGTATGACTGACAGACCTCGCAACCAATCAGTGCCAAGGGGTGAGGACATGACAGCCCTTGCAATCAAATCAGCACCGAGGGGTGAGGTCACCAGGGGCATGAGGAAGTCCCACCATGCTCAGCCTGCAAAAATGGCAGCTGGCCCCAGGATCTGTCCGTTAAATTGGCCAGTCACCTCGAGTCCCGGTAGACCCCTACGTATGAGGTTACCTGGAAGAGCAGAATCTGCATTCAGTTACCCCAGAGGTCTCTTCCAGGTGTATAGGGGTGTAGGTTGTAGCCATGTTGGTCTAAGGACATAGGCAGACAAGATTCTTTGGGTAAATCTGATATATTTTATTAGACCAACTCAAATAGTTGGAAAAATTCTTCTTAGCAAGCTTTAAGGTTTAAATGCTCTTCACCAGGCTGAGGAAGCCTCTGCAGTTGGTGTGCACTCTTCCTGGATGTAGGTATTTATATAGTGGATAAACACTGATTTCACTACCACTAATTCACGTTGCCACAGAATAAAAATAACTTTTTATTACTAGAAGTCTTACCATCTACAGCGAGAGCTCTGTGCAACAAGTCTTTGGCAGAGCGTACCACAGCACTCACAACAGAAAGAGCTCTGCTACAGTTTTTATCTTCTTCATTAGCTTTGCTTAAAAGCTGCGACTGTAGATCTCCATCATACTCACTCCTGAATAGAAGAGTAAATTGGCATGACTTCATAATATAAAAATAGTTTTAAAAGATGAGTCCATATATTTGATTTTTGTGCAATAGAGTGACTTAGAAACCAAGAAATAAGAACTAAAGTCAACCCGCATAATGACAGAACACAGGTAAAATTTCTGGGAAAACACTTTTGGGAAATTTTGATTTGAAATGAAAGATGTACTGACGCTGAAGTAGTATATTCCTCTGGTTAGAATTTTTTTTCAAACCTATATATTATAGAAATATAAGTATTATATTACTGTAGAAAAACCACCCATTCAGTTCATCATAGGACTGTCAACAGCAATGTACAAACCAACTGCACTTGGTATTTTTGAAATTACTTACCTCTGAGAAAGAAAAAAAAAAGTGCTACAGAAAAATTGTTCTTTCATCCTACCAGATTTTTCTAATGCTAGAGGGGGTGTGTATGCCTGTCTGCTCAACTTCTGCGGCACTGCAAGAGCATTTACAGTGCTACAAATATTACTTCTGTCCAGGGCTTCTATCAGAAGCAGCCAACCTGTGGCTTGGGCAAACTCTGCATGTGGCAGACTGAACAGGGAACAGGGAAACAGTGACAGATTGGGCAGGGAGCAGTAAGCAAAGAATCATTCCTCAAGCAGCCAGATAACCAGGTGAAAACAAAAGTAGCCACAAGAACTGTCAGTATGTGGCTATATCCAACAAAAAGTCTCACAGTGTGGGAATACTATGGTATTTACTCAAATCCAAGACTAGGTCTTCCCCCATTTAACATGGGGGGGGTGAAGCTTCTCATCTTAAATTCAAGTGGGGGGGGGGGCGGAGGAGGGAGGCTAATGCAGCTCCAGCTCTGACCCCAACCTGGGCCTGGGGCTGCAGTTCCCCCTGTCCTTCCCCTAGATCTGCAACAGTGGTGGTGGCAGCTCCAGTCCTGGCTCTGGGGCTGTGGCTGGTACTGCTACCACCACAACCCCAGCTGCATGTCCAGGCAGGGGCTGGTGCTCTGTGCCCAAGGTTGGAGCAGAGCCAGAGTCAGTGCTGGAACAAGGGAGTAAGTGGCAGTGGGGGCCAGGCAGCAGTGGACACATGCACAAGGGGCTGGCAAGTGGCTGGTGCCAGAGCATGCAGGCAGTTCAGGGAAGGAGGAGGCAGGGAGCAAGGAATGAAGTGATGGGAGGGATAGGGTCAGAGGCCACTTGACTCCTCCATCACCTGACACCCTACCACTGCTTGCCCAGCTGCAGGAGGGTACAGAATGAATTTAAGATGAACCTACAATAAATTAGATTCAATACATGGAAAATTATGACAAACTTTTAGGATTTCCCATTAAAATAATCTAATTATTGGGAATCATCTTAAATTGAAAGTTGTCTTGAATTTGGGTATATACAGTAGTTCTAAAAAGATTTTTGAGCCCTAACCCTCATTTTCTCTTTTATCCTTTGTGATGGAGGTAATGATCTTGACATCTGAGCATCTCATCTGATACAGACATTTGTTTTCAATGGGCTATCTACAATGATAGCTCAGTTTTTTTTCCTAGGTGGTATGATTAATTTTAAATCCATCAATGTGTTTCTTCTATTGTCAACTTATGCCACATTTCAACTGACATTGTGCTGCCCACCTGCTTAATTTTGTCCAGTTCTTCAGTTTTAACTATCTTTGAGGTTTATAAATCTTGTCATGTTCACCACCTTCTGCAAATATACTACTTCTGCCATGTTAACTATCTCATGTCGTGTATCCCTTAGCTGCTTTCTCTTGATCCCATGCTTGATTTAGTTTCTTGAATAGCTTTTCAGTGAGTAGGCTTTCTTTAAAATCCAAATGATTATCAACTATTTCTTCTCAATCCAGTAGTCTGCTGAGAAGGTTAAAATTCTTATTAGATATGGGGCACAGCATTTTTCTGAAAAAAAATTGCTGGCTTATGCCTGTTATCTTACTTAGTTATCTATTATTTTAAACTGTAAACAATTTGGTACTGAAATATTTTTTTTAAATTGTCTTTGGGTTCTTGATTCTTTTAGTTCTTTAATTCTTTTTACTTCTTAAGCTCCATTAGCAACATTTAAGAACATAGGTGCAGTTACTTCTTACAATCCTTCCAATGTAGTAGATACTTTTAAAAAGACATTATAATAAATTAGCACTGCAACTTCTTCATATATAAGCACCTTCAAAACCCCAGAAAAACAAGATCTGGTCTTGATGTCTTAATGCCATCTTAGCCTTCAAGAGCACCCTATTTTTGATTAATTGATAATTGTTCAATTTACATGTGCAAGGTACAGCTACAGTGACTGCAGATTCTGGTGCACAGCATGTCTTTATTGTAGAGGCAGGGAGAGAAGCTCCTATACTCAGGTGCTGTCATGTTTTAAACCTTAAGTGTCCAGCTGGATATCCAGAACATGAGAAACAGTTACTGGGTACCTGCAAAATGTTATTTTAATGAACTTTTACAGTATCACATGGAAAAGATGTGGCAGAACCATCTCTTGGGTGACATTCAATTTACTTAACTATAAGATCTTTCTTTCTCTTTCTGTAATGCCAACCTCTCCTGTATACACCTATTTTGTTTTAGAGTAAGTGAGATTGAGAGACTATAAACCAGTGGTGCCCCATGGGCCATACAAGTGGTACAAGGCCAGCCTGAAGGTTGGGCTGGGAATTAGGGGCTCACCACCACCCTCTCCCACTTCCTGCATTCCACGATTGGGTCCTGCAGACCCAGCATCACCCTCTCCTGCCCCATGCATTCCAGGATTCGTTCCTATGAGCCCAAGATTGGGTCCCAGAGGCCTGGCACCATCTCTTGCATGCTGGGATTGGGTCCCTGGGGCCCAGTGCCACCTTCTCCTACTCCTCGCTGGGATGGAGAACTGGATCTAGTGTGCAGAACCTGGGGCTCCCTATGGGTCCAATCATTTGAAAGCAGAGGAGTGGTGCCACCAGAGGACACGGCACTGCGGCTAGAGGTGGAGCACCCTTACTGTAGATGACAATTTCATTATGTTATACAATGCAATTCTTCCAGAAATAGAGGAAGTTCTCAGTACCTAGGCTCCCAACTAGAAATGATTCCCCGCTCTCAAAAAAATATTATATCCTATACAAAGCTGAGCTACAAGTAAGAAGGAATACAGGCTTTTAAAGCCAAACTTTAGAAAAATCAGTAAGTTGTAAGTCAATGGACAAGATATGAGAACCGATTTTTCACTATGGTTGTCATATCATGGACAGCAAATCTGAGATGAGGGTGAAAGAGGCAGAGGGACAAATCAAATGCCCTGAAGAGGGAGAGCCTGTTACCAGGAAAGTTAGTCATCTTCAATAAAAACAAAAAACAAAAACATAGAGTCAGAAGAAAGCAAGATATAGTTCTGACAGAAGCTCTACACACAATCTACACTGCTTTCTGGTACTTCTCACATATAGATGTGGTATTATTATTATTATTAATTTTTTTAAAATAGTTTATGGAAGTATGCAAACCTGTAATAAAGAATCTGTGGAATCTGTCCACGTGTTTGGTTTGTGCCATTGCTGCTCAAACTACATGTGCTGAATGTAAATGTCACACCATCTGGACACTGGACCGTGGTCATTCCTCCATCTCCATTAGCAGTACGGCTCCCATAGTTTCTAAGGCGGACTGCATATTTCACATTTTCCTTAGAAACAAGAGAAACAAACTTTAAGAGAGATATAGAAAACATACTTCATGAAAGTCTGCAGGATTCAAATTGAAAATATAATTCAAGTATATTAAATAGAGACGTGTTTAGAATACAGAAGAGTACAAGCCTGAAGTACCACATTTACTGAATTCTTAAGACAAGGTGCCCCCCATTTAACATAGGGAAAAAAGCCCCTCATCTTGGAATTGAGTATGGGGTGTGTGTGTGTGTGCGTGTGTGCATGCGCGTGTGTGTGCGTGGAGGGGCAGGCTGCCTGCCCTGTGTACCACCTCTACATCCTATCTCCCCCTGCAGCCTCTGTTTCTTGCCTGTCCCTTTCCTTCCCTGCCTCTTCCCCTTGCTCTGATAGGCTTTGTCCCTGCTCTAGCCTGGGGTACAGGACTCAGCCCCCAGCCCTGCCCCAGCAGGACAGGAGCTAGCATGGCTGCTACAGGGCCTGACTAGGGCTGTGCTCTGGACCCCAAGCTGCAGCAGGAGTGAGCCTGATGGTGCTGGAGCAACAAGCAAGGGGGCAGAGGAGAGGAGGCAGGTGGAAAGCAAAGGCTATGAAGTGGGGGAGGGGAAAGCAGAGGCTGTGAAGTGGGGGAGGGGAAGACCGCAGGCAGCAAGGGAGCAAAAGGTGCATGCATGTGTGGGGATGGTAAGTGGGAAAGGACAAGCTGCTTGACCTCCCCATACCATCTGCTCCCCCCCCCCTTACTTCCTGCTCCTGCAAGGGGGGGGTGCAGAGAGAGGAGGCAACGAATTTAAGATGCCCCTCCAATTATTAGATTCTATACATGGAAAACTAACAAATTTATAAACTAACCACGCATAGAATCTAATTATAGGAGGTTGTCTTAAATTCAGGGCTGTCTTGGATTCAGGTAAATATGGTACATTTAACTTTCAACTTAAAGCTGAATGCTAAAATGAAATTAAATAGAAAAGGTATGGGATCAAGTACAAATGAGAGACTGTGAAAAAATGTTTATTCAAGAACATTTTAATTCATATACAGATTACATTACACTGGATACTCTTAAATGGAAAAGCGATGTTTCATTTCTTTGCCCTACAAGAAACTGCATTTGACATTTACTGCCTAACTAATAAAATGAAAAATGTTCTAGATGTATTTTATTATTTTTACTTCTCAACAAAATACAAATATTAAGCATTTTTCAAATGCATACAGTAAACAAAACTACAAACAAGATTTTCAACACGTATCCATGTAATTCTTACATGTTCATTTCTTACTTAAAAATTTCATGGCATTTAACAGGGAAAATGCATAGCTTTTCTTACCTTCAGAGGCACAACTTTGTCAAGTCTGATTTCAGCTATGTCACTGGGGGAATCATCTGTGGTATAAGTTCCTTTAACTAACTCTAATGATGTCCATCTATGAGAATGAGTTGAATCGCCAGTGTGATCACTCTGATTTGAAGAAATGTAAACCATTTTAATATCTCTAGAATGTAAACTCTTCTGAAACTTGTCCACTTATTTTAATAAGTTGCATTTTTGTGCATACTACAGATAATGCTATGATACTAGCATGAAAAGTAACAAGACATCCATCTGTAAAACAAGTAAAATTGCCAAACTTCCTTCTCCTGACTGAGAAGGAGCTTTCACCTCTTTAGTCTTCTCAGTTTATAGATCAGCTATTTTCCAATGTCAGAGAGTTGTTCCTTGCTTCTCACGTTCTCTCATTCCATGACTAAACCTATTACTGAATACATTAACTTCATGAAACATTTTAAGAGAAAGTGCTTGCAAAATGAAGTTCTGATGCACTATTGTTGTACTGATAGCCTGGATTGTACACAAATGATTATAAAGCTTTAGAAGTTTAAGATTATTTCTGTTTCCTTGTTTTTCAAGAGCAATACTTACATCATCAACTAACACCTCCAATTCATACTCATGAATTCCACCTCCTCCATAAACAGAAAATCCAACCACTACTGCACCAGGTTTGTCCACAGAGAAACAGATTGCATCAGGGGATCCATTACCAGTATTCCAACTTCTTCCCTGACTTGTTTTAGTGAATCGATTTGGACTAGATTTGACAGAATGGAGAGAGTTAAGTCCATCAACCTGTGAAGAATTAAATAAACATATAAGCATCAGTTAAATAAGCAAGTAAGCATATATAAGCATCAGTTAGAATGTATTTAATTTTATGATAAAAACAAATCATCTTGAGTGAATATTTTGAGCATAGTAAATTTAAGAATCAGCTGTTACAGAACACTGAAGATGTCACTAACAGGTGTCTTCTTACTATAAGAATAAGATTCAATTACCATATTTACTTTAATATAAGACATTTTTCTTCCCAATCAGCATGGGGGAAAAGCCCGTCCCCGTCCCCGTCTCCCCCACTCTAGATTTGAGCACAAGATTGGGGGAGTGGCTGTGACCCCAAGCCCAGGATCAGAATTGGAGCTGCAGCTCCAACTGCTGCTCCCCCTACTTCCCTCCCCTGCCTTTGCTCCCCGCCTCTGCTTAACCTCCCCATGCAGCTCCAGCTTCTACTGTGTTCACATATAGCCTGGGGGAGAGAGCAGAGAGCCAGGGATGGACACAGAGGGGGTGCACTTGCTTCCCCCTTTTATTCCTGGTCCACCCAAAATTTAAAGCCATCTAGCAGTGGCAGAAGCATTTCTAGTTAGGCAGTGCTGAGGGAGTCAATTGATTTCATGGATCATTATTAATCTACCTAATCTCTTCTAAACTCTCCATTTCACAGGTGTTAACCCTCCTTTTTAATGATCATGAGGGTCCACCAATCATGCTATCCTTTGTTCTGCAGTTCTGTTGCCTGCTAGCTGGCTCCTGGTAATGAAGCTCCTATTTCACAGATTGTTTTTAACTTGTTGCAATGAAGTTATGCATGTTTTTGCTTCAACCTTGAACTGAATAACACAGCCCTAGGCCCCTAGTATATTAGTAAAGCTACAAGTTTATCACCAGAGAAACATGCATTGTATGTGTGACAAAACCTTAGCATCTGCACTCCACTTTTCCAAATTCTGCATCTACCCAGGTATAGTGCACATGTTGCCTCCAGCCCCAGCCCATCCACAGAGAGGTGGCAACAGGTCTGGCCCTGGATCTGAGTCTAGGCCAAAGCTACTGATGCCACAACAGCTACTATGTGGCTGGAATGGAGACAGAAGAAGCAGGTGCTCCAACAGCAAGGGGAAGATAAAAGACAGGGAGGGGGAGAAGTGGGGAGGGAACAGGGGGCATACAAGTGGCACAAGGGGCTAAGCAGGTGGGGGTGACAGGGGGCAGAGGCACCATAGGGGCAGGAGTGCGTTGTGAAGGCCCTGGGGTTGAGGTGGGAGTTAAAATGACCATCAAAAATTAGATTCTAGACATGAAAAGTTATAATAAATTTTCAAAATTTAGGATTTAATAATTGGAGGTTCATCTTAAATTCAGTCGTCATGGATTCAGGCAAATAGACGGTATTGTAAATCAATGTATTTTCAGATAATTTGTCTAAATACCTGAATATTTATAACAAAGTGAAATATGAAATGTTTCAAAATCCTTATGAAGGAACATATTTAATGGTAAATTCAACTTGAAATATTTCTTTATTTGAAGTAAATGAAATGAAATTATTTGCGATAAAATGTTTTTATACGAGTATCCCTGAGGGTTCAAGTGCATCTAAGGCTCAGAATCCCTATCCTAAAACATTTGCCATCAGACTGAGGGAAGTGAATAGAAAAAGTGGAGGGAAGAAAATAGGTACAAATAGCTGGGGTGTCTGTCCTTTAACTTCTTTATAAGCCTAAAGACACTCACAGTGCAAGCATCATCTCCGTGGATAGTGCTGGCTAATGAATCTGTTTCAAGTGCACTGGCTACTTTAAATTAAGAGAGTGGAAGATGCATAAAGATACAAATGCAGAGAGACAAACACTTTAAGATTCTCAGATTTGGCAGGTGGGGGGAAATCTTGAAATTTTCTTTAACCATTACAAGCAGCTAACTGTAACTGCATTTCCGTAACAGACTGATTAAACAATTGTAAAAGTATTAGTGGTTTGAAAAAGATTTCTTACATATTTTTGGGAACAGCAGTTGGAACCCATAAAAAAATTGTGTAAGGTTAGAAACTAAAATTAGAAACTAAAACAATACATACACCCAAAAATTTCATAATACATTCACTTAAAACATTATTAAACAGTTTTACAAAAACATTACCTCAGATCCCAGTGCAGAAGCTGTAAGTTCACTGACAATACTAGCAAGTAATCCACAGGTATTAGAAACTAAATGAGAAGAGAAGAGTTCATTTTCTCGTCTAAGACTGTTTCTAACTGGAAACACAACAATAACCAGCATTTTCTCTAGCACTTCCCGAAAGCTTGTCATTCCTGAAATATTTTCTTCACTCTGCAATATGAAAAAAAAGAGAAACACATTATCTTTATATAAAGTCTTGCCTTATATATTGTCAACTTGTAATGGCAGAACTTGTCTACCTGCAAAAATGGCGACATTAGCAGTTTGGCTAGAGGA